TCTATCTCTAGGCTCAAACTCCAGATGCCTGATGACTTCACCGCCTACAAGCAGTATCTCCGAAGTGCCGAGGAATGGACATCAGAGCAGGATTCTTCACCGCACTCCAGATGGTCGTCTGAAGTATGCAACAGGGCATGGAGCTTGTTATCACCTTGGTCTTTGAAAAGGGAATTAGCTACACATCTGGATTTACATGGTCAGGATTATTAATAAACCAATAAAAATAAAACACACAGAAGCCTCATTGCCATGATAGACATGTTTAGAAAACTGGGGTAACCCTAAACCTAACCCTCCGCAGTCTTTGAAGATACACCAACATCAGGTTTTCGGATTGTTAAATTACTACCACGCATGCAACAAAGCTGGGCTGAATGGTTTCCTATCAGAGACAGACAAAATTATTGCATCAATGTGCACAATTATATTGAAACACCACCTTCTTAATATGTCAGACACATAGGGTAAATTAAAGAAAACCACCATTTAGTGATAATTTAGTGGAGCTCCAGGATGACTCAATGGAAATCCAGACTGTTTGATCTTGGGAACGCATCTGTACTTAGCCGCCATTCGGGGGCTGCTAACAGATCAAATCTTAAACCAAGACCACCTGGCCTAGAAATTTCAATCTTAACTGTAAAATGGCAAATAGGGATCTGTTTATTTAGCTGACTAAAACTCTGATCTGTGGTGCTGTATGACAATGTTTATTCCTTTTATTGAGGTGCCAGCACACACAACAAAAAAATTGAACATCTTGTCTGGTTTTGTTTTGGCTTTATCTGTGTCACTGGGAAACGTCTTCAACCAAGCGTTTTACTCCCTAACATTGTACTGTACAAAGAGAACTCTCTGACTCTTTTGTTTAAATCCAAAATATAGAACATAGTTCAGTGCTCTATCCCTCTAGACCTGAGGCACTACAATAGTTCTACGATGACTTTGCATTAACTGGCTTTTTGGGGTCTGGGTATATATGAAGTGACCTTTCGCAGGAGGATACAACCAGCTGGGTTATCTGAAGCAAAGACAAATGTGTTCATTTGTAACAGGATGATTGCTCACCACTATACACCTCTACTGTAGCCCCACAGATATTTGATTGGTGTACAGACAGACAGAACAGAAAAATAATTACTCAAACTGAAAGGATGTTTAGTTAATTCACCTCTTTAGAACTGGCGAAACTTCCTAGAAGCTTGTTAACTGAACAGCTATATAAAAGCTGGCATCACATTGATTAAAAAGCCTCAATAAATTCTTTACAGGAGCGAGTAAACTTCTGTGAAGGCAGTATTAATGGGGAGGGCAATAGCTGGAGAATGACTCAGTTAACAGTCTACTCTGGAGTGCAGTTAATGACAAGTGGTTTTTCACCATTTTTGTCACAGGAAGTCTGAGCATCTTGCTACTGTCACTCCAACAGCTATCTTCAGAGCTGAAAATTATACGTGCAACAATGTTTTCACATAAATGATTTACTCTTTTTTTATTTACAAGAGCCAAGCTCCACTCTTCATGAGCTGAAGGACCTTCACCATCTCAAATGACATAAATCAAAGCAGACATTGAAGACAAATTCTATTACACCACTGTAAAAACAAATATCGGCTTACTCTTCTCAAAATTAAATTATCCAGGAGTCCTTTTGCAGGTGACATCCTTCCTCAGCTTCATATGTTGAAGTCTGTCTTAGCCTGCTGAACTGTATGACAGATCTGATCTAACTCACAAAATACAAGATGTGTTTTTATTCTAATTTCTCAGATGAAACATGCGGCACACTTGATTTTTAAAATATTCCAGCCATTCCATCTCTGTTAAGGATGTCTTCAAAATGCTAATGTTTTACAAAAAATCTAGAATTTTTAAAATTGTGTTCCAAAAGCAGAAAAAACAAAAAGAATACCTAACAAATATGGGAGCACCGCCACCACCAACAACAACAACAAAAAAAACAAGATTGTGCTGTCATGGGGTTTGTACAACCCCAGTGTAACTTAGCTACACTTTGGTACTGCAAACAGCTTTAAACAAATTTCAAATTGAATACATTTCATCCTAATAGTTTTACTGGAGTTTTCCTTTTTGGAACTTCATTTGAAGTTACTAGTGCTGGTTACATTATTTTTCCTTTAATATAAAAACATGTGAAAGCTTGGCTAATGGAAAAAGGATAATAGGCTACAATCAAACAAATGACGAGAGACAAGACCACAGTGAGAAACATTAAAGGTACTACTGTATTGGCCCAATAAGGGGTTGTATACGTGAATTCAACTGCTGAAGAAAAACAGCTGTCAACTCCTATGGCATGAATGAGACCCGTCTCTCACTGAGCTGATGGAGAGGCAAGAATGCTGACTTCAGCTACAGGACTGTTCTGATCATGGTAACACCCATTCTGAATCAGTGCGATACCTTTTCCAGTGCTAAATGGTTGATTATGTGAAGGTACCAGGAAGTGATGCTGTGCAATTTTTTTAAATTGGTTTCTTCTATCATCCCCATCTTGATCCAGATGTGCTCAAAGACCCACTCCCATTCAACACTGAGGCAACTCACATAGGAGGAACACGAGAAGATGTTGTTAATGCCCCTGAAACTGCTCTTCACAATACAGTATATGAAAACTATCAGGAAGCAGGTAAACATTAGGTTTCACCTGTACTTGCTCAGGTTATTCCAATTCAGAAGTGAACTCCAGCTTGAATGAAGAGGATCGGTGGGTATACTGTACAAACACATTAAACAGAAAATGATGGGTATGGCTGAAGAGGTCCTCTTCTCTCTCTCAAAGAGAAGAGATTCCTTTCATTTCTCAGGTTGCAAAGAGCTGATCAGTCAATGTTAAATTCTTGTAGTTGCTCTTCAGTTCCACCTTGCTCCATGCCATCATCACCCCTCCCAGCAGACACAGCCTGACTAATTGAAACATTACCTGAGCTTCATCCACGGCACATTCCTCTTAGCATGACTCAGGGATGGTAATTACAATGATCAACACACCTGGAAAATTGTGATTCTCATTTTACTGCACACATGGGAGAAACTGGGATGTGAAGAAGAGAGGATATTACTAACTGACTTGATACAAGCATTGAAAATCTTAAACAGTTCAAAATGGCAGATGGAGAATTTCAGGAGATCATATAGGACTGAAGTCGTTATTCAGAGAATACTGGTATGTGACACAAACACACACTCATGCCAGGGCTATTTTCACAAAAGCCAATTAACCCACCAGCCTTTTGGGGACTGTGGAAAAAACCCAGTGAAAACCCAAGCAAACATGATTAGAACATGCAAACTCCACACAGATAGCACCCCCAGTGCAAAATTGAACCCAGGGTCCCAGTGCTGTGAGGCAGCAATGCTAACCACTGCTCTACTGTTCAGCTCCCCATATATGTTATTAAATGGAATGCCTTTATGAAGCAGCTGAATCTTGAATAAATAATTTATTGGTGTTTGTACAGTATTAATAAGCAAGATGTGTAAAATGGTCCCTTTCACTTTTGCAACTTTTCTCATGTTTGTAAATGTGGTGTTATGCCTGGCAATGTTCTACCACTAGAAATCAGTTCTCTTAGTCACGTTTTTGGTACTTTTCTACCTTTAAATGTCCTTCAGCTGTGCCATGATTTGCAGTCTGAGAAGGAACTGCCTCTAACGCTATAATAGGATTGAACCCTGTACTGGACATGTAGTTCAATAAGTATCTCCATACAGACTTTGCTTTTTTTGTAAATAAAACAACTCAAATGTTTCGCTCATCTGACCACAGGATGTGGCTTGAAGGTTTTACCAAGAGCTCTCACAGTGAGCATTGTTGATTGAAAGGTGTTTTTTTTTATTTTGGGAGAGAAGTATGTACTTTGGTTTCTTTCACACATGGTATATCTGTCATGTGCATTTTTATAACTACATGTTTTTTTCCAGCTTTTTAGAATTTGTTTTGCATTACCTAATACTTGTCTCTCTCTGTTGTACAAATAACTTGACATTGATCTGAAAAAAAGACATTCATTTTTTGGATTTATTTTACAATTATTTGAATGAAGTTAGAAGTAATTACATGCTATCCATTCTGTAAATTAAAAGGCAATGTCATTGGAATACCAGTGTTTATTTTTTGTACGGGGAATTGTTTTTACAGGATTGTTGTAGAATCTAGTGGAATGTATTATACAGTTCACTATTATCTTATGTCAACCATTGCTTATGTTTATTTATTTTTATAACAGTTGAGAACATATACTTCCTTGACTAAACGGATCTGAATGAAGCTGTTGTGCAACAGTTTTTCCACAGTAAAAGATGTGAAGCACAAGTGTTGTCCTTCATGTATGAAGGTGCTCTTCTCAATTAAGTTAATAATCATAAAATACTAATTCCTTACACTTATAGAGCGCTTTTCTGGACACTACATTCAAAGCACCTTACAGGTAATGACCAATACATTTCTGAATAAAACGGTTATCATTAAATATACACCCATTCCAAACTGTAAATCTTAAGTACGAAATTAATTTGAACGGGCTACCACTGTGCGCTCATCTCTACCCAATATCTTTATAAACATGACTTTTTTTTTACAAAACCGAAACAATAGGTAGTCTATATAATTATCTTGTTTTCCTCACCGACTATTTATGAAAATATACATTAAAAAACCGGCACATTATTGTAACTGTTATTATCTCTGCGTTTATTCTTTTATAATGAATATAGGAGGTTTAAGACATTGAGTGTAATTGAAGCACTTATGTTGTATTTGTTCTGCAAACAGAAAGGGGGGAATCTGCACTTGCGGAAGTAAGTGGAGACAAGTGAGGAAAATGTCAACGCATTGTAGTAAAGTGTATTTTGAACGCAAGAATCAATAAAACGAAAAGAAAACTGACCGGAAGACACCATTCATTGCCGTTTTCATGATTACACGGGCAGGTAATTATGAAAAACAATGCTAACGATAAAGCATCACTTCTTACCATATCATAAACGTTAAGGATGACTGGTTCATTAGCCATGGTCTTAGTCCTCACAGCAGGGAAGTCAGTATTCCAGTCCCTTCCAGCTACTGCGTTATTGCTTTCCGCGTAGTAGCACCTCGACCCCCTGCGCTCCAGCCAGGGTCGGAGAGGGGGACTGTTTTTGAAGCCCGTGACGAACAAACATAGAAAACTGATTTCGGTTCGGCTTTGCTTCTTCTTCGCAGGTTTCATGCGGCACGGAAGAGGAGAGAGACGGTGGAATTATTCCGTTAGTGAGGAGACCATTTGGGGTCGTTTACAACTTGATACCATCCCTCAATGTGCGCCTTGTTCGCGAAGAAAAAAAAAAGCACACGCGCAAAACAAGGGGAAAAAAACTTCCCATCCGCTTTCATTCCAGCTTCGCGAGCATCAGAACGCGTAGACATGTATAAAACAAACAAGAATTTGCGGAAAAAAAATATCCAGAGGTAGATCTGTTTCAAAAAGATAGCTGGACGTCAAAAACCTTTCGGTGTAGATAAATCTTGAGAGTTGGAAAGCAGCAACTACTGACCGATATAAACCCGTCCTCCAGAATGGTGAAATGATATGTTATAAAATCAATATTTAAAATATATACTTTCTATTTAATACATATTAACTGAAATTAATATACTGAAGAGAGGCACGTATGTCTTTTCTCCATTGCACTTGCCTCATTTTCTAGTCTACCACAGTCTTGCGGGTGGTGGTAGGGGGTGTATCTACAATAATAATTTTAAAAAACCTTTCGGTTGTGGCTGGTGTTGTTGGTTCCGCTAGGCGCTGCGTCCAGTATACTGTATCGCAGATTAGCTGTGATGAGATTTGTTGCTTCAGGAAAACGCTACAACACCAATCGCGGAAATACTTAAGGAGAAAACAAGCAGGCTATGCTATGATGTTGACTTTTAGGAAAAGGTCGATAAATAACGCATAGCTAAGCCGGAACCTGTCCAAGGTGCTGAATTTCGGAATTTTACGAGCCGAAGAAAACATGAACAATGCGATGCATAAGTGCTCCTTGTAACGGTACAATTAATGATTAATGAATCTTCTTGTAGTACATATAATCTTATTACACTGTTTTTGTTATAATAATACCCAGATATTCTCGCCAGTAATGTTTAACGGCTCGTTGTCCTCTGTTATTACGAAAATAACACAGAGGCCAGCTAGCTCATGGTGCAATTTAATGTCTTCGGCTAAGCATCCAGAGGTATGAGTGTATGGTTCAGCTGAACAACCGTCCTCTTATGCCCCTCGTTCCTTCCCGTTTTGCCTCCTCACCCCACAACAACACCCCGCGGAAGCGGAGTCCAGCTTCCCCTGTCTCGGATAGTCTCTGAAACTCTTCCCAGGGAAAGGCGGATGACATCACCCGAACCAGAGTCCTATATCGCGCTCCCTGCCAGCTTCTCCGCAGACGAGAGCTGAATGAGAATGTGCCGAGAGATCTGATTACATCATCACGGGCTAGCGTTCCCCGCTGCCCACGACTGAGAGAGAGAGGGAGGGGAAGAGAGAGACAGTGATGGGGGTGGGGAACGAGTGTGAGCTGCACAGTCTCCTCAAAGAGAAATCGTCTTCAGGTCTTCAAAGACATTTGCGTCATGTCAGCTGTCACTATCCGTCTTACAAGTTTTCCTTTGCATATGCAGCGTGCTTTGATGTGCGTGCGACTGCGATTGTACGCGTCGACACGTGTTGCCGTCTTCTAGAGATTTTTAAAAGGCGCTTCAATTCTATACCATTCACTGAGCAGTTGTGTTGTGTTCAATGTGCCTGCTGTAGTTCCACCTGTGGGACATGATGTCGAAGCAAAGGTTTTGTGACAATTCACCACCTTTTGTGTTTGCAATAAAACTCAATGACACTTTAATAGTCTCTAAATCCTACTGATCAGAGACAGCACACCTTTTGAGAGCTATGCCTGATCTTGTATAAATTATCTGATGTTCCTACAGAATCAAGGGCTGCAGTGGACTGTCAAGGTATCCCTTAGCATGTCCCAGGCAAGCTGGAGAAATGTCAAGAGAGCCTTTTTTGTTACCTGGTACAGCGATTCAGAACAAATTCTCCTTTGCCATGCTAACCTAGAGACCCATTTACACAGCAGGGCTTTATCTTTCAATTACTGTATGTCAAAGAGAAACAGGCAAGGCAGCTGACATTATTATCAACCCAGAAGAAGACTGGGCCAAATGGGTCAAACTGGGTCAAAATGGGTCAAACTGATATCACGTACTGTATTATCAAGTGGAGGATCTAATGTCAGCACACCTACAGCAGAAAGTACAACTGGGCAAAATTGACTAAGTTAATGCAGCTTCCCTAAATTGTGTATAGGCTTTGATTTTAAGCCCTGTTATTAAAGAGAATGACTTCCATCTGACTCCAATCTGTGAATTGTCACAAACCTCTGTCTTAAGTGACATCTGAAGTCTATGCAATTCAGCTTCACAGCATTCTTGGTGCACAGTGAGAATGAATCCTTCTTATATATCCTTGCCTTTACATGTTTCCTACACGTCTGTTTGACGCTGGATCTGTGAACAATGTGCAGGATTTTATTCCACAGGGTAAGTCACACAGCTCCTAAAAAATATTTATAAATAAGAGAGCACAGCAGAGTACATATGCCAACTAATGGTTCAGTTACCTGATACCCTGAATATAATAATAATAATAATAATAATAATAATAATGATGTAGTATTTTTATCCACTATTACAGCAGAACAGTTAGAATAGCAAGAAATTACAGTATTTCACCAGATTACTTAAGAGGGAACTTTCATGAGGCAGGATCTCAAATCTTAGCTCAAAGACAATGCCACCTACTCACCAGACTGGAGTATTGGTTTGGAAACTCTGGTGTGAAGGGAAGAACTCCACTTACTGGTCTACCCACACTTTGCCACAAAAAAACAAAATCGGTGATCAAAATTAACAACTGTTAAAGTATTCTATGCACATGGAGCAAAGTGGTCCCATTATTCGAACAAGGTATTCGGCCAAAATGGATTGGTATCATCAACTATTATACAATTGAACCCATTCCACTGCAATAAACACATGAACTACACGGACCACATTTTTTATTTATTACCTTGTGTTTTTAACCTTCTTTTGCTCCTTATCTGGGATGACACGCAAAACTGAACTCTCGTTTTAAATGACTTTGAAAGTCTTCCTAAAACGTTTTGGATAAAAATGCATGCTGAGTGACTGGTTAGAAGTGTGATATTGTCTGTGTAGCTTCAGTATAATAAAAAATAGGTTCCCTTTCATTATTAAGTTTTAAGATTGCCCTTCGACAGAATTAAATTAAATCAAGTATTATACCTTTTCTAATTTGAGTGCTGTTGCTTAATTCCCTAGCTGAGAAATAATAATTACAGAAAATGCATAATGTATATAACTTTAAATATGTATTTAAATATTTATAAACAGTGTTTATTTCACTACTGATTCTATTCTCTTGTTAATACAATTATAAAGGTAATATTTTTTTTATAAAAACACATTGTATATAAAATCCAATTAGCAATAACTCTTTAGAACAAATTAGTATAACTGATCAGCACACACAATGCTGGTGGCTATGCACAGATGATAAATCATATATACTGTAAAAGGAAAACATACAACACCATGAAGACCTGACACTTGTCAGCAGCACCCCGTGGGATACCTACCCCACACCCTGCATCTAAACAGTAGAGAGCACTGTATGAAAATGAAGGCCACGATCTGATTTTAGGGAAGGGACTGCAGAAGTATCCAGCGTTTCAGCTGTGGTGAGATCAGCCAATCAGTCCCTTTTCTCCAGCCTGTGAAAGACCAAGACTGGAGTCATTGATTGACGAGAGCACCAGAGGTGAGAGAGGAATATCTACTCATCCATTTTCCTACTGCTTAATCAAATACAGGGTCATGGGGGAGTAGTAGCCAATCCCAGAAGGCAACAGGGACAAGATGGGATACACCCTGGACTGGACACACACACACAAAAACACACACGTTCACAGGGACATTTTTCCGAGAAGCCAATTAATCTACCTGTGTGTCTTTGGACTGTGGGAAAAAACCCACTTGAAAACACTGGAGAGCTAGGAATATGGGGTCTTCTTAAATAATGAGCCTGGAAGAAGAACCACTCTCCAAAAGCAAGACACTTCCTAAATGTTAAAGTGTAAAAAGGGGGCCTATAGTGTCCCCTGAGCAAAGTGTACACAAGGGATTCCAGGAATACATTTCATATGGTAATGTTCACATGGGGTCTTGCACATGTTCTTTAAAAAATAAGAACAGCGTTCAATGCTTAGGATTGATCCTAGGCATATTTTAGAGGTAACATCTAGTCTAGCAGAAAAGACTGATTAGAAACAAACAGGAAACACAGCTCTCTGTCTGTCTAAATGGGCAGCCGCTGTCACTTCTTGTCGACATACTAGAGACACAAACAAGCTTTGATGGTGGAGCTTTGCAGTGTCACTTCACAGTGCTGAGACCCTTTGAAATGCTAAAGCTCTGCCCACTGTTCTAAGAATAGACCTGCAGGGCTGTGTCGGTGGAGTGCAGATGCCAGGTTCAACCCCCGTTCACCACTGAGCAGACTCTAATGGGAAATGACTCCCCCTGACTTGATGGCGAGGCGCTGGTTTGGAGAACACCACCAGCTAAACACCAGGAAAAAGGATTCACTCAGTCTGTGCTCACTCTCTGGTTAGTTGAACCAGACAGCGGCTCGCATGTTTGTCTATTTCTGTGTGACATCCTGGGAATTGTTAGTTCCCTGTAAGTAGCAAAAGGATACAGTTACTTATCCACTTTTCATAGGCTTTCCTCTGGATGTCATTGAGGTACATGAATGTTTCAGTACTGTATTTCTAACATATATAGTAAATAAATGAGCCAATGAATTATAAAAGTGCAGTAAAGGAGAGCCGTAGTGCCTGTATTCAAATGTGGTGCTGGTACATGTTCTAAAAATGTCCTCCCACAGATGTGCCTTCACAAATTAATTCAGAACTGAAGACCACCTGCTGTTCAGCTCTACATACTCCCCTTTTCTCTTGAACTGAGACAGTTTTATCTCATAGCTTTGATTTAAAGTTGTTTTAAGATAGTGCTGGGTTAAATACTTTGGCCAAAATATGTTATGTTTCTGTCAAGCTGCACAATACAGAAAACCAACCGAGTGAAGAAAGAATGTTTCAGATCACCACAGGGGCTTTTTTCTGTGAAAATAATTCCATAATCAGCCGTCATTGTCGGTAGAAGAGATAACCTGCAAAAACAGATTTCTTCTCTTAAACTATTACCTACTGCTATTGACCAGTTTATCTCCATTGCAAAGATCACTTGATGGCGTGATGTGAAAATGTTTATAATCTTGTTTATTCTTGTTTTAATTTTGTGGGTGAAAATAAACAAATGTATGAGAGAATGCTGCCTAATATCCTCATCATTATTTTCCCTTTTTCATCTTTCTTGAACTTGACTGCTGCTATTTGTCAAAATAATACAATAAAATATGGGAACAATATGACATAAAATGTACTGTATAATGCAGATTATACCTTAGTGTGCTTCCAATAAGTAAATACATCACTGTTCATGGTCCTTGATTAATGTTCAGATTGAACTGGTCCAGTTCAGAAGTCCTGGCATTTCACAAAGTGATTGAGATGCTACAGCCATGGGCCTCCTACGGAAATGGTTTTCAGGTTGTTTTAGATACTCAGGAATTCTAAAAACCTCTATGTTTAATGAGTTACAGTACACCATTTTAATGGTGGACACATTCTGAGATCCATCACTGAAGATCTTAAGAGGTGACATTGTCTACCTCTATGTCTGAGGGGTGATATTGCAGCAGGCAGAATGAATTTACTGCCAAGGCTAAATTATATAATAATAATTGTTTACATTTATATAGTGCTTTTCTGGACAGTCCACTCAAAGTGCTTTACAGGTAATGAGGTTAGTAAAACCTTCAGATTTGAGTCCTGGAGACAGAAGGAGTCCCCTATTTAAAACACATTTCTAAAAGTACAAGACAAATGTTCTCTCCCAGGAAGTGTATTTTTCAGTACCCACAAATAGGGAGGGTCTTAAACACATTTATCATAACTCAGTCTTTACTTTTTTCATATCTCCTCTGGATGGGGAAAATCTCAGGAGACAGGAACGCCATACTCAATTTTATAAGTTACTTTCCTCCCTACATGAAGAGATGTATGTCCCAAAAGGTAAATAGGCAGGGGATTTAATTTCTAACCAAATTCAATTGTTAGGAAATGTGTTAGTTTATATATGACTATTCTACTCACAATACTAAACCCCAACCTAATCATATATTTATTACACAGAGTTCATTACCCTTAGATCTCAGAACTCTGAACACAGAGTTCATTACTCTCATTACAAAGTATCACAGATAAAAGACAGTTCTCTTTGGGTCTAAGAGAATTTAATACTTGTCAATACTGTGCTAATAATTTACTCAATGATGACATTCATGCCTCCTGT